ACAACAAAAAAAAAAAAAAAAAAAAAAAAAAAAGGTATTTGCATTTTTAAGAGACAAAATTAAATCCTTTTGAAAGTTATTCTTCCCTGCTGAACAGCTGTATGTAATAAAATACAGCAAGAGTAACTGTGATCCAAGACTATATATGTATTAAGATCAAAGATCATATCAAAAGTGGACTTTCACAATGGGAACCACCTCCACAGATTCCCACACTTCTCAAAGCAAATCCCCTCCTTTTCAAAATCTGATGACCCAGTTCCCTCCATTAACTTGCCACTGCACTCTGGTGACAGGGAACATGAAGTACACTGTGTTTTGACAGACTTTTTCTAGATTTACCCATACTATTGGGCTGAAAAGTCACTGCCAGACTACTAGAAAGATAAAGCTGGAAAATGCCCTTCCCATGATCCACAGAGTCATTATTTAGTTTCACATTTTCAGCTTGGACAAAGTGGTTTATGCCACTGGTTAGTCTGCCCAATACAGTCTTTCAGGTTCTTACACACAAGTGACACAGACTGGTTGAACTGCCAACACTGTCAACAGTATCCTGTAATAGAATTTTATGTTTGGAATTCCAGGACCCAAAGAAGACAGGGAAATACCTGCTTGCCTCGAGTTAAACAAAAGCTGGAAGAGTAAACTGATATAAGCAACTAGCCCTTGAAAGAATAAAGAACAGCTGGGAACCCTCTGCATCCCTGACGTGACTCAGAACCATTACACTATGAAAATGAGGGTTTGTCAGCAGCATCCTTGGCAGGGTGGGGAGCAGAACAAAACACCTGAACTTCCTTGTCACATTTGAAACTTAAGGTCACAAACTCACTCTGGTGATGCTTGTCAGAGATGAAAAAAAATCTCAATTATTGAAAGGCACGCACACTTTTACAAAAGCAAGATTGGATGAGTTATCGATGGCAAGATGAAGAAATAGAAGCTGTGGAAATGATATTATTTATTATTTCTTGACACTGTGTTACCAGATGCAGATGGTATCACTGTCCTACAGAGCCACCAGCAGAGGAAAGCCACAGCCTGTAGAATGTTGGAAAGAGGGGGAGAGAAGCACATAGTAACGTTATGCAGTTGCCTTATTTAACACTGTGAGCGCAGAAGAGACTCCCAAAATAAGGGATTTTGATGAATCATTTGATAGAAAGGAAATGCTCAAGTTTTCTTAACATTGCTACCAACTGACAGGACTTTATACCACAAAGATGCTGTGGGTGTCATAGATCTAATAATGTACCTGTGTAATTTAGTGATTCTCAGAAAAAAAGGAGATGAGTTTTAACAAAACTTCCACTTGAATTTGGTTTTGTTTCTTTTTTTTTTTTTTGCCTTCATAAAAACACGAAGTTAAAATTTCCACTTTAAATCCACCCTCTTAATGCCAAAGCCTGTATGGCAGCATCTTGGGTATCAAAACATTTGCATGCAGATAACATCATATATCAGAGATATTTCGGATATTAACGAGTCATACAACCCTTAATTCTACAGATGCCTTCAATTTCACCTGCTAGAAGATGGACTATCCAGATCATTCATCTTGCATTGCAAAGCATACTTTTGCAATGGTGAAATACAAGGAACAAACTTGATCCAGTGATTATAAACTGATTGTAAGATGGATTAGTTATTTATGAGAGGGTAGGCACAAAAAGGAAAAGGATGTTAGTGAACATGACAAGAAAGAATTCTTTGCATGAACTGTTTACTAATATACACCATACCCTATCAGAAAATAGCTAAGATTATGAAATATGTGTATATATACACACATATATATATACATACACACAAATTCACATTTTGATGTCTTTATTTCTCCTTAAGATCCCACTTGGAAACTGTAAATTATAGGAAATTCAGTTCTTTATCTCTTTCTCCAAACTGAAGAATGAAATTCATGTTTGTACAATTATCTTTAAAATTAGCCCTGGCCCTAATTAAAGCTTTGAAAGAGCATAACAGAAAGAATGTCCAAATAACTATTTTTATCTTCTTGAAATGCTGCTAGAAATTCACATTAGGCCTTAAAATCCAGTGGAAGGAGGTGAATGGGATTGAGCTACTTCTGTATATTAAATGGTGGCACAGATTTTCAGATCTGCTTTTTAGAAATGAGATCACAACCAAGTGAAAGAAAAAGCCCTAAAACTTTGGTTGTTGGGTGTTAGGGGGTAATCTCCTAACATGCCCTCCAGAGTGAATCACCCTGCAAGCGTTTCTGTGCAGGCTCCATGTTGTCTTTTGGTCCAAGGCATAATCACAGGAGCAGGATTTCAAAAGGCAGGAATCCTGCCTGGCTGCTTATCCAGCCCTAATGACACGTTTGCTCCGGTTCCTCACGTATGTCACCTCCATGAGGGATACTGGTGAGTTAGATAAACAGAGCATTGGAAGTGCTGGCTGGCTGTGGGACAGTCCTGTCACCAGCCTGGCCCTAGGAGTGCTCAGATAATCTGCTTTATCTTAAAAAAAGTGTAACTTTGCTGATTTTGTTATCACCTGCAAGAGGTAAGCAGGAAACTAATTTGCATGTTTCTCAATAACTCTCAGTCACATTGCTTAGACAAGGCTGACTGTAAACACTGAACAACAGGATGGGCTCAGACAAAAGGCTTTTGAATCTGCCTTTAACAGTAGCCAACTCCCACTCCAGTCATTAAAATACATTGATTTGCATGGCAAAAAAGGACTTTATGTTCAAGCTGTCATTCTTTCATATTTTTCATTATATGAAGGGAGCACTTGCTATTTCATATTTATGTAGGTTCCCATTTGCTGGCAGTTTTATGAAGCTAAAAAATAACTTCAGAGAGAAAAATTAAAATACATAAAACAGTAGAGATATTTTTGGGGGGCAGTTTACATGGAATGCCCTAACATTCCCAACACTGCAGTTAACAGTTGCTGTCCAGGTACTTATGGAATCATAGAATGAATCACAGAACAGTTTCTCCTGGAAGGAACCTCAAAGATCATCACATTCCAATGTCCCAGCCTTGGACAGGGACATGGACACCTTTCACTAGATGAGGTTGCTCCAAGCCCCACCCAGCCTGCCCTTGAACACTTCTAGTAATGGGTGTCCACTGCTTCTCTGGACAACCTGTTCCAGTGCCTCACCACCCTCACAGGGAACAATCTCTTCCTGATATCTAATCTGACCCTGCCCTCTGTCAGTTTGAAGCCATTCCCTCTTATCCTGTCACTCCACACCTTGTAAAAAATCCCCCTCAAGCTCTCTTGTAGCCACTTTGAGGTACTGCATGGCTACTTCAACATTCAAGAATTATTTTCTCAGACCCAAGATTTATTCCTAAAAGACAAAACTTCCTACTTCTTTTTGTGTCCCAGTTAGTTTCTTGTTGTATAGTGAACAAGGCAGAGAAATAAAAAAATGACCTTTTCCTGCACCTACAGGAGAGACTGTTGCTGACAGAAGCTGTTTTAATTTAAAATAAAGCTCGTGATCAATTTTGTCAGCTAGGGTAGGTGCAGATCTCTCTGTATCCTCTCCTGGCATCTCTCAGAGTTAATAAGGACATCCTGAATCAGGTAGAGTTTGGGCATTTCTAGTAACTACCAGCGAGCTCTCTGCACACATGGCCACAATCCCTTAGAACAAAGGGAGTGTGAAGCCCTGGCATCTGCAGCAATGAGCTCCTCTGGTCTGGCAGCCTCCAGCATTTATTTAGGTGAAAACCTTCTACCAGCTTCATACAATGCCTTGTACATCTGGTTGTGGGAAAGGCAACAGACAGTGAACCCTGGCCACTCTTCCACAACACATTATGTTGAAAATTTCTATAATTTCTCCCCTTAGGCTCTTTTTTGAGACAGGCATCTGTGACAGCTGAAGACAGCAAGCTCAGTAGTTCTTCACCCAGAAGCCTTCTGAGGCCTTTGATGATCCTTGTGGCCCCTTCTCTGACACTTTCCAGTTTTGCTAAATATTTTTGATCAGACCTGCACAGAGTACTCAAGCCAACAACAAACAGCAGATTTACACAGCAGCATACTGAAGCTCTATGGTTGGCTTACTGTGTACTTTCTAGTAATTTCTGGTGTTTGATTTGCTTTCTGATCATGGAACAGCAAGTTAATTCTTCCATGGATGTACCACTTATAATTTCAAGATCTTGCTGCTAAGGGATAATAATTCTTGGTCTTAAAAAAAGGAAAGTATTTTTATTTCATATTGAAAGGCCCACAAACCCCTCAAAACCGTGTCTTAGATAACACTATTATAGTAAGAAAGTAATTTATTATTATTATTACAATTACAAAGAGCATAGAATTAAAAATGGAGTGAAAAGCCTTAAATATTTTTATGGGGGATAAGTCTAGGAAAGTCAGCCACAGTTTTTATCAGTTTTAACCCTGTTCTAAGAGGAAAATACCTGAAGCAGCATTCTGGTATGACAGCATTGTATACCCTCTCCACAACCTCCACAGTTTTAAGAAGAGGAGTGTAGGCAGAAGACCATAAAGGACAATTTTACCACCATGTGTTCCTTCAAACATCACTCACATTACTTTCATTTGTGTCTCCTTTGTTTCACCCTCTGTCTGAAATCCTTTGAAAGTAGTGGAATGATCCTTCTCAAAAAGAGAGCGACCACTGCTTAGAGAGACATCTTGCTAAAACTCAAACATGCCAGACACTTAAATGCACACAAGCAGAACAGTACTTTCAAAGTCAATTAGCTTGAAAATAGCAACATGTTTAAGTGCTCTCTTGGATTAGAACCCTACAGGCAATTTCCAGCCTTGGCTCTTGCAGCTCACTGCACTTTTACTTCAAAACACTTTAGCTCCACACACAATAGCAACAGAAGTTTTGAAATGTGATCTGTCCAGAAACAAACTCATCCTGTTCTTTTTTATCTAAGATGAAAAATCGTAATTTAAAGACTTAAGATGTTTCATTCAGACCCTTCCCTGTCTCTCTCTTTGATATATTCAGCCCATAATTTTCCTGCTTGACTGTGATGAGAATGGAGACCAAGAGCATAAAGGAATGAGGGTACCCACTATGAATCAGAGGCTGTTTTCCTTAGGCTGTTTGTACAGATACTGGGGACAGATGGGCTCTGAAGAGCCAGCACCAACGTGGGAGCCACTGCTCAGCCCTGCCCTGTGGAGCCACCTCTCCCCATGGAGCACACAAACACAGACCCTCTGTTACCTGCCCAGGATAAACTGCTCTGACTCCTCATTTACACCAGCTAAGTCAGGCCTAAACACCCTGCTTCCCTTTCTTAACAGACTGATGTCCCAGCTGCTCTCCAAAATCCACTTCCAAAACACTGAGACTCACAAGGCTTTGAGGATGATCTTTATCTGCAGCCCATTCTTGCCTTGTGAATAGTCTTGATGCAGTTCACTGTTTGTTGTGAAGGCAATTAGAATGAATCTAAAACTTTGCTCAATCAATCAAGACAACTTTGAGTACAGCACAGGAGTTCAGATGAAGAGAAAATCCTAAAAATCTCAATACATCGGCTCTCAAATAGACTACATGAAGTTACCTAGTAAGATTTTTAATATTTGAACACAGAATCAATCTTTTAATAAGTTGGGTTGTTTTGTTTTTTTTCTTCCTTTCTTTTTGAATAAATCTTTCATCTTTTTGAATAAATCTTTCATTTAAAAAAATATCAGCAAAAGTTACAGAATAAGAAACACCAGCCATAATCTTAGCTGTCCTGAAAACAACTTGAAATGCTCTTAGACAAAACAGAATCTGGGAGAAAAAGAGAGAAAGCTTCCTCCAGGACCTTAAAGGACTAGCAATGGTGACCACTTTCAAGCATGCAATTCAGGTTAAATAATATATTGCAGTCACCAGATGGGTCACCTACAAAGGGAAAGTAAAACCCTCTCTGAGTGGTGTCACTGACATAATTATTATTGGCAAATCAAACCACAGCGACAAGATAAGAAGCGGGTGACAAGGTTTGCATTACTTTTTAGTCTGAAATGGAGACTTAAAATAAAAAATTAAATACAGTGTTTTTTCTTTAAGATTTATGGAAGAACAGAGTTTACATTGAAGATAAAAATGTAAATTTTTTAGGTTGCTGGATTAAAAAAAAGAAGTCTTTTATAGACTTCTCCATACTGGGAAGCCTTTGCTTCTTTTTTCATTTCTATGGCTTGAAACTTTTTTTCTGAAATGTAAGATGATTGTACCATAAGGAATGCAAGATTTTGAGTAATAACAGAAAGTTGAAGGTTAACACTGCATGCAGCCTACAAACTAACAAAGCAGACAAATCATAAAGGACATATAAACCAAACATGTCAGATGGAGCCTTCCTGAATTTATTTGCTAAAGGCAAACTAGAAATTTCTGGGTTTTGCCAGTAGTATCTCATAAAACAGTGCAATACATTCTTAGAACATAGGATTAAAACATTATGTAAAACATAATTTTACTAATCTGAAACCTGTGTGTGGTAACTGATATAAATCTGTGATGTAGTTGAATTTGCCCCAGAACAATTGTTGAAATCTCAAAGTGCTTTTTACTTCTCTTCAAAAATAAGCCTGTTACTTCCATCATTAAAAATCCCAGGCCAGTACACAACACATTTGGGTTCGCTTTTCCAAAAATCAATTTTAGTTTTCCTTTACAAAAAAACCCTCATGTGCGAACAAATAAAGCACAACATTCCTTTTAATTGTGAAACAAGTAATTGCTGATGTGATTGAAGTTTTCTAAGTATCCAATTCTTTCAAGATATCTGTGAGAAAAAGAATATAGTTACAGAACCTCTGGTGGCCATCTCGCTGTTTACTCACCCATTTCTTGCCTGGTACTGCAGACTCCTGTCCCGTATTTTTCCAGCTCTATGGTCACAGTTTTCAAAGCATTAACATCTGTTTCTGCAAAGCCGAGGTAGTTATAAGAACCCATATTGATTACATTCTTGATAGTCCTTCCTGTAAACCTAGAATTAAAGCAAATTTGGAACAATAGTGAAATTTTCCCTCCAATCCCAAACGAAAAAAAAAAAAAAAATCTCGAAATTTTCCCACCAAATTTTGTTCCAGCGTCAAGCTCCTACTTGGGAATTTACAATCCTCATACTCTAAGAGCCCAAAAGTTTTTCTAGCCTTTCTCTTTTCCTTACTAAGGACTGCTTCATGGTCAGAGTGCTTTTTAGAAGCCATGCTGTAGATGGCAATATACTGGTATGGGGTGAATGGCTGCTTTTAGGGATTTAAATAAACAAAAAATCCTATGATTTTATTTAAGGAACAACTTACAGATATTAATTTCTCAAACAAATTATTAACTGCTTCCATTAAGTCATCAGTGCTCTCTCACACACACAGAACTTAAACTTGATGAAAATACGGGAAACACTATGATGCATTCTCAATAAGCTCAAATATAGCCAACCTACACATTGTCTATGCTGTGAATTCCCATAGCTGTGTAATTCAGCTGCAACACACCAAAGCTGGTGTAATTCAAGCTGTAATCTGCTTAAAACCCACTGCCAAAGACTCACGGTGAAGGCAAGGAGCCACATTCCTGCAATGCAAGAAATTACGATTTCAAACCTAACCAAGGGATAAAACACATTTTGTTGTAATATTGTGAGTCAAGCTCTGTTGTTATAAATGGTGTGTGAGCAGTCATGTGCTGACACAGCTAAACCCATTTGCAGTGGAGCTGGAAATCTATACTGCATTTCCAAACAAATACTCAGAAGAAAAGGGTCAGATTGTCAGCATGGTGCTGACTGCAGAAAGAAGCACGCTGGTGGATATTAGAAAAGGATCTCAACACAATTTTCTGTGCTTTGCAGAGGTGTCAGGAGTATGCTCATGAAGCTGAGAGCAGCAGAGTGTAAGGTGACTCACCTAAATGTCCAGTTGTAATCATCTGTAACACGCTCCATGAGGTCAAACTGTGGCCCAGGGACACTGCAAATTGGACGATTCCAGTTGTCCCGTATTCTCAAATAGAGGTTTCTGGTGTAAAAGTTCTCAAAATCTTGATAAAGTGGCACAAAATCCTGGTTTGAAAACATGCACAGGGTTATGTTGCTGGGAAAATATCTGCTTCTGTACCCAAGTCATTCCTATTAACAAGGAAAAACTGATTCATCAGTAAACAGAGAGCCATAGCAGCCACATGTTCCTATGTCACTCACAACTCCAAACAGCAAATGTCTTACTATAATTATTTTAAAACACAATATTGTATTCCTTAGAGGGTGGAATATTTTGTTTGTTTCTGTTTCAAGACTGGGGGATTTTTTTGATTTCTTTTTTGGTTGGTCAGGGTTTGGTTTTTTTGTTTGTTTGTTTGCTTGTTTAATGGTCAACAAGTTGGTCTAACTCTCCCTATATATCCTGAAAGTTGGAAATGGAAAAAAACCTAGATTCTTTCACTTGAAGAAACCAATTGCTTCAAATTGAGCATTTTTCTATGTGTGGAGCAGATTGCAGAAAAGTAGGATAAACAACTCACAACGTTTCATGAAATGCTGGATACATCAGACAAAAGCTAGTCCAATATATGTGATTTGGGCATTACAGGCCTAGCATAGAGATGCAAACATCCAGTTAAAATAATTTTTTTGGTTGAGAATTAATGTCTATCCATGGAAATTAAATTTAAACAAAGCTTTATGTGAAACAGCAATATATCCATGTTGAGCACTGCCTACAATAAACTGATAAAATAACATGGCATGCAGTTAACATATGTGGGAGAATTAAATAAACACGTAATCTGTAGTGAAGGACAAAAAAAATTAACTGGCACAACTGGAATCAACAAATGGCCAAATCATGAAGTGAATTGAAAGTGATATTCATTAAGTAATGCACACATACTTGAAAATCTAAATCAGGAAACAATTTCAGGAATTTTATTTGCAAGAGAAACAGTAACACTGTTCATGTTTTTCCTTCATTATGCCAGGTGTTACCATAAATGTTACTCAAACTGCACAGAGGAGGAGCAGCCAAAAATTCTAAACAAAGTTGGAAGGCAGTTGATCTTGCTAAGGTGCAAGTTTCATTTGGAACTATGTGGGATGAAAACATTTTGGGAGTTACAAGAATTCAATTATAACAAAATTAGAAATGCCTTGCTGTGAAAGACAGTGTAAGACAGCCAGCTGGGACAAAGGAAAATCGGGGTTGAAGAGATTTGGAAAGATGATATATTTAACAATAAGGCATTTATGAGCTTTCTTTTTCTGTGGATTGACCTAATATACTGAGATTCTGCTTTGCTGACGGTATTATGGCACTCTTAGAATGAGGTGAACACGTCCCTTGGGTAAAAATGATGATTTTACATAAATGCAGGCACATAATCATACACATGCACACAACTCCACTGCAGGGCGTGTCACTCCTCCACCCCTGTGCAACCTCCTGCAAAATGAAAGTTGTCTGCCTTGTTACTTCCACAAGTTGCTGAAAATCACTTGCAAGCAGGGGGAAAACTCAGCTGTGGACACATCATGACTTTTTCATACATACTTTTTGTTGTTCTCTCTCCGTTGCAATGTTACGTTTTTCTAGTCCCCAGGCTCTCATAAAATCTCGCAGGTAGCCAAATATTGTTCCCACTGCAAACCCCACGAAAGTAAAAACTGCAACATACATTGGTGCCTGTTCAAAGTGCTCAATAAATGTTTTTTTGTAGAGAGTTCCATTTGATACTCCATTCTTCTGGGAAAAAAAAAAAAAACAACAGAACAGAAACTTGTGATTAATACATTTCATCTCAGCAAAGCTTAGACCCTTTGACCTCGGGGCAAATATTTTTTTCTACTTAGAGGAGACATTTAGACCTCACATTCTATCAGTTGAAGAAGACCTTTAACACTGACCACTCCAAGTATCTTCCATTTTCTCTCCTCTCATGTCCTCAGTTGCAGATGTCTTCAACACCACTCCCTTGTCTATTTTGAAACACGTGAAACTTATGAAAGATTGGCAATGTATTATTGTGCAATTGGACAATTATTTCAAAGGTGATTAAATGGAAGCCACAATGCTCTGTCTTGCAAGACAGAGCTATAAAAAGGGAAGGGCAACATTAAAAGCTCACCTACACTGTGCCTGAGTGCTTCTGGAAGTCTTGTGTAACCCATTGCAGCAACTAACCTATATAAAACAAATCCTGCCGAAAACAGGGCAGCTTTACCATGATGTTCTCCAGACCTGAGGAAGCATCCCAAACAGTTATGATCCCTGCCTTCTATTTCTATTCTGATTTCACAAATGCTTTTAATCCTATTTTCAGTGACATCTCCCCTAATTCTAAAACAAAATAGAGAAGAGCAAAAGTAAAGGAAAAAAAAATAAAAAGAAGACACACAGCCTTGCTTATTGGAATTAGTGATCCCATTGTGAGCAAATTCTAGAAGTTTACAACAGTGTGCGGACAAAATATTTTGTCATTAAAATAGATCAAAATTTCCATTTTCAAATTAAAGAAGCCAAATTTTTCAGTTGCCATATTCAATAGGCTCATCAGATTATTCTTTGGAAGAGTGGTAACTCTCTTATTTCTGCAAAACATGATGGCCTTTACTGTCTAGTAACAGCCAATCTGCTAATTCAAAACTAACAAACTGCAATCCAGAAAAAAATAGTGCCCCGTTAAAAAAAACTAAAAAAACCTCAAACCAAACAAACAAATACCCAAGACATACATTTTAAACATATTATAAAGCAAAACTGCCAGCACACGAAGAAATACCTTTAATACATTTCTGCCTGTGGGAAGGATGAACTAAAAATGTAGGTTACCTAGTTATGTAATGTAGCAAGCTGAAATAGAATATTCGTATTAAGAACAACTGCCAATTCACTATACTTGTAAGGACAGAGTATTATTGATCTTCATATTGCACTAAAATGTCTTTATCCTCAAAGGATTTAGATTTCTGTTGTTACTTGTTTGCTGGTCCAATCCTGGATCCCCCAATGTTTTTTTTGGGAGAAAAAGAAATAAAAAAAAAAAAAAAAGTTGTTGGGCACAAGAGAAAATAGAAAGGCTGTTAAGGAAACCCAAAAAGAAAATAATGCTGGTTGGGCTGAACAGAAACATATTTAGACTTTGGAAACACATACTGCCGTGCAAGGGAGGGCTGGTTCTCACCATGTGAGGGAACACCTTTGAAGAAATGCTACACATGCACTCCTACCTCAAGCTAATTGCTCTTTTAGGGCAACCTATTTACCATGAAAAACATTTTATGAGGATGAGTTAAATACATGGTCAAGTCAAATTTCACATGAGTCACAACAGCTGTGTGCACATAGTGATGAGATAAAGCAAATATTTCAGAAAGGATTAAGCTCAGTCCTATTACCTTACATTTGCCATGGGCTAAGAGCATATTTATGGTCATCTATGGAAATTCAAGTGGCATTGCAGCTTGATGCTCTTGAATCAATTGGCATCAAGCTGTGATGATGTGATAATGCACCTGACCCCAGAGGAGAGAGTTATGATGTTTCTGTTCATTGATTTTATTAATAAACACTTTATTGCTGTAAACCTTATTGGTGAGGGAATGGGAAAACTCCTATCAGATTTCTGCACTGTAACATCCTTCTTCCACAATAAAACTCTGCTGTTGTGGAACTCTCATTTCAGCAGGTGCCATCTGATGCAGTCAGTACGGCACGTGTATTTGACCAGGTAACCACTGTCACTGTCCTTAATACAAACAGCTGGGAGGAATAAGCACACATAGCAGTGAAGAACGAAGAATGTGGAGCCAGATGTGACCCACATTCTCCAGGCTATGAAGGAAAAAACCCAATAGTCTTTGAACAGTTAGTACAAGGCTGGGAGAACAAATTAAAAAACCACAGTGACACCTCGTCTAAAAAATAAAGTGGTGAAAACAAAGAGCATTTAATCCATCCCTGGAGTCCCACAACATAGTAAAGAGAGAGTTTCAAGACAGAATAACCAAAACTAGTGGATTTGCTGCTTCTGGAGAGTGAGAAAGTTGTAGCTGGGGTGTTTCTGTGCAGCATTTCTGATTCAAGCATGGGGTATATGAGTGAGTGACTGAACATCATGAGGATGTTCAATTTTCAGTCTAAATTGGCTGAACTTGTCAGTGAAGCAATGGTTGTCATTTTGCACTACATTACTGTTGACTTTTTCTATGTTATCATCTCATATTATACCATTTTATCTCAGAAGAAGGAGGTGGATTTGGAGACTGTGCCTTTAGAACAGCAGCTACACAGTGAAGGGAGATGTAATTCAACTGTTGCTGGCACTGAAATCAAATACAGCAGATTTCCAACAAATGCCTGAAACCATTCAGAGATCATCAGTAACACCATTACACAGCAGGTGCTCTGCTGAATTGTGTCTTATTACCTATAATAACATCTGCAATGGGCAGTACATTTTCTACTCCATACCTTCCACTGTAGCAATTGGTTGGGCAAAGATTCTAAAAAAATATATATATATTCTTCCAACTTTAGCAATTGGTGGCTTTGAGATTTTATGACTCTAAGACTGTCTTATCACCTTTAAGTCATCAGGGGATAACTATGAATGATTCATCATTCTTGAACCTAAAAATGTTGGGGAAATAAACTGTGACTTTTGACAATTCATTTCATCTGTAAAAATGTGGTTCCTTTTTTGTAATGAAATTACCTAGTGTCACGACAGTTTACTTTGTTTGTGTCTGCTGCGCTTTCCTACTCAGCCAATTGCACAACTCATAATTTTCTATACTTAAATAAATTCTGCCTATTTGTCTCTTCCCAGCCTAGAAGAATCTTAATCTATATAATTCTATTCCAGTCTCCTTGTCCTTACAAAGATTTTAATCCTCAAAAATGAATTTAAAAAAATCTATATTTTCATGCTCAGCTTTCTCTTCACTCTGCAAAAAATCAATAAAACCTTTTCGAGATGCAGAGGATGCAAATTAAAATTGCACACCCCACCTGAGGGCACAGTAGGGATTTATACATTTGCAAATGATGACAAAGGTCTTCAAATGAAGCCAAAGGTATTTTCTGTAGCTTTTTAAAGACTGTTAACATTCTATTTGCCTTCTTACCACAGTTCACAGTTTCACCTTTTGATTCACCTTTTGATTACATATATCCTTCCCCAGTTGCAAAAATACTGAATTTAGATCACACTAATGTTGTGCATTCTTGGGACCATTTTCCCTTCCAATTAATTCTTTGTTTTTTATTTAGTGACCTGCATTTTCTTCTGATCTTTTGTCAACATTATACACACTACCACCAACAAGAAACTTCTGCAGTGCTTCTTGCTCAGGCCTAATTTTTCAGCTACCTGAAGAGTTCTGTATTGTCAACACATATTATCACTTATTTCTCCTCACTCCTTTTTCCACACCACGGATAAAAAAATGAGAGCACAAGCTCAAAGAGTGATCCCTGGGGGACTCCATTCCCTGCATCTCCTTTTCAAAAATTGTTTATTTCTTACCCTTAATTTCTCTGGCAAAAAGGGCAACATAAGCAGCAGCCCAGCCCAACAACTTTATCTTTGGCTTCCTTTAAAAATCTTAAGTAAATACCCCTTGTGATATGTTAATCCACAATTTACTGGTTTAAAAAAATAATTATGCTGGCATCTCAAATCAAAATAGTTTCTCAGTAGCCTACCACACAGTAAGTTTAGCTTCCAGGCATAAGTGCAGGGAATCTACTGGTGCAACATAAAGACATGCAACACAGAAAGGCTACAGGTGAAATTCAAAGAGAATGGATGTTTCACCAAGGAGTTTTAAAGTCTAGGATTTCATCAGCTTCTTGGAAACCAAAAGCACATTCAGGATATGCAACTTTTGTGTGTTGATCCCCTGCTTAGCTGGTTTCAAGTAAGATACTGCAGTAAGATTCCTTGCAGCAAGATTTTGATGCCAAGGAAGTCAACAGGAGTGATGGCAATGCAGCAAACTCAGCTTAAAGTACAATTACCTCTTAGATTCCTATTTTTTTGTAATTTGCCATAGTATTTCAAAATTCTCCCCTAATGAAGAACTCTTCCAAAATGCCCTCAGTTTTTCAAATGGAGAAATCAACTCTCAGAGTTGAAATCAAATCTCAGAGTGCTATTAGAATGGACATCAGTATAAAATACTGAATATAAGGGACATACAATTTTAATTAAAAGAGCTTGCTCTAATAATAATGTAACCTCATGTTGAAGTCAATTAAACACACTTCTGGCAACACCTTTACAAGCAATAGCTATAAAATAGATTTGAATTAGCAAAGAAAAAAATTATAGCTAGGCAGTAGCATGAGCAATACTTATTTTTTTTTCACATTACTGTTAAGAGATAATTTTTCATTGCATTAAGGTCCTGCAGCCCTTGGAATTGTGCTAATTGGCAGGAGCCAGATTTGCACCAAAGGGAGAGTGAAGAATTGAACAGCACAGAGTACCACAGCACCAAACCTGTGTGCTGGCCCTGAGTAACTCCCCAGCAAAGAGGTAATCTCCTATGCTGGGTGAGTGGAGCTGTATCAAGGAAACTGAGCCTCAAGAGCCCATGGTTTCATGCAAGTCTGCTCTACAGAGACCACAAGCTCTAATTAAATATTCTCCTGCAATTATTGCCACTTCCAGTATAGCAGGAGTAGGTACAGATACCCTTGAAATAAAACTACTGGCACAACAATAAAGTCTTCATCTT